AAAAACAGACAGGGAGAAACCAAGTGCACTTTCGCAAGCGTATTATGCAGCTGCCGGCCGAGGAAAACGAGCATCACAAAAGCATGTTAACGAATTAAAAATGAAACTATAGAAGTAGGAACTAGTAATATGATAGAAAAAATGTATATAAATAGAATATTTGTGGAAGGGAGAATTAGTAGAAAAAAATTTTGAGTTAAGCAGTCGAATGTATTGCCAAAAATAAATTGTGAATAATCCTACATTTTAAGGAATATAATTGTGAATAAAAGAACTTTGAAGTGTATTTCTATAGAACAAAATATCCGCGAGCCAGTGATGCGGACTGTATCTTAGAAAAGCGAATTTTATAACAAAAGATATACGTCACCAACACATCAGACATGATACTTGAACTAGGAGAGTACGATTTCGGTATAGAATACGTAAAGAGCAAAAAGAATTAAGTAGTAAGATTTTCTAAGCAGAATCTAAGATAAAATGAACGTTATTCGCGAAAAAGATGAAGCTGTAAGCTCCAATGAGACAAATTTGCTATCATATTCTGACAAACAGTAAACAATATAGAAGAAAACGATGTATCGATGATAACGGTCCATTCAGCAGAAAAAAATCTACACGATCATATATAAATGGTCCAAATTTGGTATAGTTAAAAAATGGACAGCTCCGAATCATTTTCAGTAGCGTTCGTCTTTGGGTTAAAATAGGTCGCTGTACCAAATTTCAGCAAAATATCTCAAGAAGACAGGCAGGCAGACTTAGATCAACCCAGATTACGATTCTAAACCGATCGGTAGAATAAAAGGTGGGTATGTACTAAGTCCTTCTGCGGGTTACATAAGTCCGCATTAGCTTAATATACACTGTGCAATAAGTGGTGCAGGATATAATATTATTAATAATAGTATTATTAATTTCACGGGGGAATTAATTTCTAAGACTAAACTCTTATAGCACTAGCATCTAAGGCTTTTATTAAAATATCTAGCGGACTTGATATTCGAACCCACGACCGTTGAGTTGCAAGTCGAGATCCCTCGCCTTCATCCATTCAGATGGATAGCGTATAATACAACAAACGGAAGAAAAATATCAAGTTCATATAAGAAATAATAATGAATTAAATATACAATAAAATACGATGTGGGTTTATTGATGATTATCGTCATAATTATTAAGTTACTTTTCGTGAAGCGTAAAAAACATTATTATAAAATTAAATAAAAGAATTCAGCAGAAGTTCAATCGAAACATGAGAACAGTTGCATGTGTAAATATTGGAAGAACTACCAGCAAGATCGATGAGTTCATTAAAAAATTAAAGCCGGACATTTAAAATTGACTTTACAATGTCAGATCAAACATTAAAGTTATTGTACTGTAATAAATATATACAGACGGAAGTAACATTTGTAACGGCCGCGAACAAACCTTGGGTAGGGGGTCTGACGGTCTGTATCAACCGCAAGTATCGGAATAACGGCATGCCGTTAGACAAAATCATTCGATTTTGTGGTACTGTTTATAAATCACATGATCTTGCGGGATATGAGTGTTTTATTCTCTTCTTTTTCCCTTTTTGCATAGCAACAGGCGAAATCGCATGATTTTGCGGTACCCTTTTTTTCTTTTTGCTCTTGCAAGCATAGGCCAAAAAAATCGTATGATTTTGCTGTACTCTTTTTTTTGCAAGTACAGGCAGAATCGTATGATTTTGCGGTATTCCATCGTTCTTTGCTTTTGCAAGCATAGGCAAAATCGTATGATTTTGCGGGATCTTTCCTTATTTTTTTTTGCAAGAGTAGCGGCTAGCCGCTATGTAGCAATGCAAAAAAAAGAAAAAGACAGGAAAGAAAAAAAGGAAAAAATCATGCGAGGGGATAGTTTTAAGTTGAGTTTGGTTCTAGTTGAGTTGCAGAGTCGACCTCAACCAGTGTGCTTGCTTTCCTATTGTTTTTTGATTATACGGCTGAGCCGTGGGTGTTTTTTTCTTTTTCTGAAATATGGGCTCAAACTGAAAATTGACCATTAAAAATATCAAAAGAAAAGAAATAAATAGAAAAATACGCGAAAGAAAAATTTTGTGCAATTGAAATTTGAAATAAATTAACTCGGAAAATATCGAAATTCAAAAAAATGATAAATTTTAATTAAAACCTCAAAAAAGGATAAATTTTTATTAAAACCTCAAAGTAAAGCAACAAAAGCGACGTGAATGACGTCAATGTGTCTTTAGTTAAAATTAGCAAAAGACAAACCAAAAAAATGAAAAAAAATCCTTTTTTTATTAAAAAAAAAAAAGGAGTAACAAAAAAAAAAACACAATAAAAAAAAAAGGAAGGTGGAACAATTAGAAGAAGCATAAGAGAATCAAGGCAAGGGTAATGGCTGCACCGTTCTTTCAATACGTTTTTTTGTCGAACAAGAAGCAAAAGGTTTTCTTATCAAGTGAATAACGTAGAAGATTATTGGTCAAAGGTGACCTTTATGAACAAATGGTCGTGAAGTATTAATGAAGTATTATGGAAAGTTTTAGCAGAACAATGTTTTATAATAAAAAAAAATAGAAAAGCATTTATGTAAAAAAAAAAAAGGAAAAAAAAATAACCAATACAGCAACTTGACAAAGTAAACGCAATTGGAGTAAAGAAGAAAAAGAAAACTACACGGATTAAGAAATTTATTCGGAAGAGAAATTAATTAGATAAGATAAAGAAAATTGTAAAAATTATTTATAAAAACTCAGGAAATTGCTAATAAAAAAGTTCTTCAACATTATCATCAAAAAGATCCCAGTTTATTATTGCAAACAGCGTTTACACGCGTGCACCTACACACACAGCAATGGAAATTAAAGTTTTTATTGGAGTAGAAAAGGCTTATTAGAAAGAGGAGGAGGGATTGCCGATGCAGCAGCTACCGCGGCCGACACTGCACCGACGCCGATGCTTGTATTGTAAGTCATTTTAGTCTATTTAATTTTTTTTGTCCACGATGAGTGGCTAAGCGCGAGCTGCCACCGCTGTGGGTGAGACTAAGGGGTGTGCATATGATGGCACTGTAGGGAGGAGTCCAGACGGTTACAGACTGACTTACGGTGGACAGACGGACGGTAGACAACCGACGGGACCTATTCATCTTTTTCTTTGTCAGGAAAATATAAATGCTCTGCCGATATAGCTAAGACCGTGACACATTATAAATATATTTGCAAGCGCTGACTACATTATTAATGATGGTCAATCATTAACAATTCTTTGTTAAATAATCTTCTAAAATACAATAAAACCTCTTTTCGTACAATTTTTTTAAAATTTTTTTTGAAAATAACTGAAAATAAATTATTAGACTAACGCTATCTGCAATTCACCATTGTTACAAATTACATTACAATAAAATTTCATATTAATTGAAGAGGCTGTCAAAAAAGGAGTAAAAATTTGAAAGAAGCACCTGGCGCCGATGTCAGACGATCCATCGCCCAATTCGAAAAAATTCGAGAGATATAGAGGATCACCTTTACAATGCGGAAAATCACGCTCTGGACAGTAGTTGGGAGGACACATTAGAATCCAATTAGATGCCTCAAAACCTTCAACCTACTCCGGATACAAAGGTTAGACAAAGTTATACAGACCACGTCCACGCCTAAGTGGAAACTTGGTAACATCACTAAAAAACTTGGTTAACTTTAACAATAGAGGCCATTTCATAACTGTGGCCATTGTACACGGCATTGATTCTACCTAGAGAAAGAATTATTGTACTTATGCGCAACGAATATGGCAACGCAGTTACCGATCCATGCTTTTTTTTCTTCTTTTGGTAAAACGACCTTAGGACCTCATAAATTCTTTTTTTTTTAGTTTAAGTTTTAATATAAATTTTTAGGTATGTAATAAAAAGTGAAATAGTAATAAAGAGAATCTCCTAAAAATAAATTTTGTATCAATGGCAGACCTGGTATTCGGCTAGCAGTCAAACGCTATTCTCGCTGTGCGCATAATGTTTAGAAAATTACGAATTTAGAAGACATTTTAACTAACATTTTTGGTTTCACATTGTCATAAAACTAACATATTCATACATATTTTGTTTATATATAAAAATTTTACATTTTTATCTGATGAATAGGCTTAGTTGTAATGGATACACTTCTTTCTTAAGAGAATTTCAGATAAAAATTTTTATGGCATGCAAGCAGTTAACAAAGCTTATTTATAAGATAGCGCCATAGTAATATAGATAAAATCAGAAAGTAATTTTTTGTTGGAAAAATAATTTAAACGAAAGGCAAATTATAGCCGATTTATTGATAAAAGGCTACAGAATTACTTGATGTGAAATGTGGTAAAGATATCTTCGTTCGAGTCATTAGTACAAAGAAGAGGGTATGAAAAGAACATGATTGGGACTTTGACCAGCGCTTTGGGTGGTAATCTGAGGAAGAACAGACAGTTATTAGTGCTTTCCTTTTTGGAAAGTTCTAATCTTTAACATGGGGTTATTACTTCAAAGATGATTTAATAAAATTTGCTTGTTGTCTTGCCTTGTTTTGTATCCGGCCATAGTGAATACCGCTCATGCAATAAAATTTATAAAAATTTTATAGAAATCATTTAATTTTGTAAAATTTTCGCAACAATCCTTTCTTTTTTCACGTTATAATAGTGTTAAAAAAAATTGCCTTGTAATTAATCTTAAAAACTTTATATTTTTTCATCCATATAACAATAATAAAACACTTTTACAAAAAGTATAGGGCTGAACTAAAATAATGTATTGCTCTATGTTCGAACTTATGCCTTTCATATAATAAAAATGATGTGAGATTATCTAACAACTCTCTTATTTTCGCCTCATCACGACGTTATTATATAAATAGTTTTTTAATTATATTAATTATATTAATTATATGTACAGAAAAAAGGACAAAACTGTTTTGCCTTTGTAAAAAAAGTCTTAGATGTGTGTTAAATTAAAGTCTATAAAATATAATATAGAAAATTTATGCGTATATCTATGTTACAATTTGTAATGTGCTTACAAAATTCGCTTATTAATTATGGCGTTTCCTCAATTTACTTTTGCGAACAACTTACGGGAGCGAGTCTTTATTGGCGATTTGGTCTTGTTAAAAAATTATGTACATCTTCGATCTCTTAATGCTGCCGTCGAAATACATTACAGATTGGCAAGTATATAAAACTCTACTACTGAGTATTGTTAAGGGTATGATGAATTTTCGTGTCTGTATTAGAAACAATTTAACAAGTACTTAAAAATTAATAGTATTTTTTGAAACTATACTATAAAATAAAAGTAAAAGCAAGTTATGTTTACCACAGCCAAGAGTGGTGAGTTTTCGCGCTTAATGATTTATTAGAGTGCAGAATTTTGCAAAAACCTCACCAAGCTCTCAAATTAAACGATGCTAAACGTTGTTGCGTATCAGTTCATTCGTCTTAAAGTCTATTAAAATTACAATTAAACAGCATTTGGCTCTAAAATTAACCTAAAAAAATTTACATTCGAACTTGCTCTATGACAATATTTTTAGATCTTTGATTGGCTTGAGGTCCGCGGCGCGGCATATTAACAATATGATGTCCGCTTGGCCCACCTCCAAGTGGAGAAATGGAAGGCGACCGTGTAGCTAACGGTGAAAGAGAAGGTGAGAACGATGGGGACATAGCGGACGATGTACTGAAACCAGCAGCTGTATCATGGTTTATAGGAGAGCGGGGTAATAAATATTGAGGTCCAGTCCCAATATGATTCCCAGTGGTTGCACTAGTCATGTGGTGAGGATTTGTGTTGGACACGCGCATATTTACTGCAGAACTTGATAAAACTGGCAAATTTATAGCCCTTGGCGCCACATTCGTTAAAAGGGGAGGTGGTATGTGTGGTTTTACCATACTTGTCATGGAATGAGTTAAGCTTTGCTTACATTTGTTTGTGGATGAAGTGTTACTGTTACCACTATGCAAAGAAATATTATCGTCTTTTAAACGAGCTATCTCCGAGAAAACATGGGCCAATGGCTGATACTGGGGACCCCAGTCGAGTAAATAGTCCCAATTATAACTGCCTGTAAGTTCTTCTTCACTATGTACTATGGAACTCAGAGATCCATTCATTGAAGGCCCTACGTTAGTACTATTGCCTACCACTGGAACATTACTAAATCCCATAACATGATCTACTGCTGTGCCGATGCTCCCAGCAGTAGTAGCTGCTTCATCGGCACTGCTTCCGCGATCCGAAGCCGCGCTAGTTACCTCATTTAATTTGGCATATATTAGATTTGTTATATCTGTTTCCGTACTGGGATCTTCGTCAAACATGTGCAAAGGTAAAGGATGGTGGAGGTGCGTTTCTTTACTAGAACCGGCTATACTTGAAGTTGACGCTCCCCCGTTAGGATTAGTATCACGGTCTACGATACCCAAGCGAGCCAAATACTCTTGTGTATTTTGCACTGATAAGTCGGACAGACGACCACCGTCTTCATTGTTAGAACCACCTCTTAATGGGCCTTCATTGATCATTCTTATTTCTTCATCTTCACCATCATCTTCGGCTGAACCGCGACCACTAGAGCCTGACTGCTCCGATCCTGACAATTCTGAGGTAGTAGCCGCTCCAGAATTGGAGCTTCCCGCGTGGTTGCCATACGGCGGTATCTCATCATATTTAGGTGGTGGAAATTGACCGCCTGCCATGGAGCTCGAATGCGGTCCCGCGTTAGAGGAAACATTTAAACCGCTTAAACCAGAAGTTCTTACTGGCATAGTATCGAAAGCGCTGGGGTCAACATAGCTATTTGCATTACCCACAATTTCGGAGCTCAAATGCGGTTTGACCACATTACGATTTGGTTTACTTTTACGCATGCGTATGAATAAAACTATACCCGCTGCTGCACACAAAAGCAAAAGTAAGGAAATGACTGAGCCTAAAACCCAATCGTATAAAGCTCCTCCATTTTCAAAAGTACTCACATTGTCATTAACTAAAGTAATGTCTTGATGTGCTAAAGGATCTAAAGATATTTCGACCACTGTCATGTTGGTCAGGGAGCCCTGTCGTCCGGAACTGGCAGATATAACCAAACTGATATCAAGATTGGTATCAAAATTATCACTTAGTTTCTTTTTTAAGATTATCGCTCCTGTAGTGCGGTTAATTTTAAAATGAGCATTTTGAGAATTGATCTGGTAAAACACTCGTCCGTCTGGTCCCTTGTCTTTGTCCGTTGTTGCTACGTGGCCAACTACAAATCCCAACGGTATGTGACCTGTTGATGGCGACGGCATTACAAAACGATATGTTCTCTCAGTAAATTGCGGGGCAAATTCATCTCTTGAATCAATTTGAATGCGCACCTTGACTCTAGAAAATTTGCCGCCTGCATCAGTTGCGCGCAGAAAAAAATTATAACGACTCCGTTGCTCAAAGTCGAATACAGCATTTGTAGTTACAAGTCCTAGATGTGTATCAACCCGAAATAACTTCCATGCTATGTCATCTGAACCAGAGACTTCATGATCAATGGAATAATTAAGTTGGCCATAAAAACCTCGATCTAAATCAGTGGCGCGGGCTCGAAAAACACTTGTACCTAACGGTTCATTCTCCGGCACAAACTCGATGTATTCAGTAACCGGAAATTTGGGAGCATTATCATTTTCATCTTTCAAAGCTAAGCGAAATGGTTGTAAAGTGCATAAAGGATGTGTGGCGCTATCACAGGCTCGTATAATAAGGTCGTAGCAAATAATGCCAGTATCATAGTCAAGTTTATTATTAACAAACAGAACGCCGGTAATCAGGTCAATTGTAAACATGCTTTCGTCATTACCCGAAGTGATTTCGTATACTACTTCAGAGTTAGGCGTGTTTTCAGCATCGATATCAATTGCTGTAAGTTTGGCTACCGAGTGCCTTAGAGGGGCCAGTTCACTAACTTCAGCTTCATATTTGCTGTTGTTAAAAAATTGAGGCGCATTATCATTAGCATCTTCCACTGCTACGAATACATTGATTGCAGACGTAGAATTTTCCGCTGCGTGCGCGTTCAGTTGCTGCGTTGTAGCCGTTGCATCCGCCATCACCATCCTAAGTTTGTACAAATCAATGTGTTCCCGATCCAAAGATTTTACTAAAATTATAGCATTTGATTGAAAAATCTCAAAGACACCCTCTTCATTGCCAGACACTATTGTGAATGTAAGGCTGCCACCATCCATGTAGGGGCTCGCATCTAAAATTTCTTGGCCTAAACGTATAACAGCTGTACCCAAAGGTGCCTTTTCATTGATGCGAGCGCGATAATGAGACTGCAGGAATTCTGCTTTAGCGATTCCAATAGTTTGCGTTTGCACTCGCAAAACAGTCGATGTTTTTAGCTGTGGTGTTCCTGCATCTGAGGCTACAATGGTTACATACTTGTAACCAAAGCGATTGAAATCGGCTACGCTGCTTAAATTTGCGGTTACTACACCTGTCTCCTCATTAATCTTAAATCCTGGGACGACAGGGTTAATACTGTAGTAAACTTTTGAATTACCAGTCTCACTGGCATCCCTGTCGCTGGCGTTAACTACCGCTAACTCAATATTCGATGTCAGAATTGAAATCGGTGCTAAACGCGGATCAGGTAAAACAGCAAAATATACTGGAGGCTGGCGCACTCCAAATTCGGGAGCATTGTCGTTTTCATCACCTACACGCACTGCCAATATGGTGCGAGCTTCATGAGCGACGTCTGAGGCAATTATCTCCAACAGATATTCTTGGCATTCTTCATAATCCAATTGCCGTTTGAGTATTATTTTACCACTGTAACGGTCGATCGCAAATATTGATTTGTTATCCACTAGGGTTGCTGCTTCATCAAGTGTCTCGTCAAAGCTGAACTCATATGTTATAGTTGGATAAGTGTCCACGTCATTGGCAGAGATTGTGGTAATCGCGGTACCCAATTCAGTTCCTAATAAGGAGAGGGAAACGTAAAATAAAGAAAGAAAGAAGTATTGTTTTAAAACATATATATACGTATACGTTAATGTTACTTTTCAAATAAGAAGAAAAAAATCCCATTGGATTAATTAATAGTTCAATCCAAAAACTATCGTTAAATTTAATAAATAGCCTTCAAAAAGGCATTGCATGCGTTCCCTTAAGGCCTTAAATAAAATCAAACTTAAATTCCATTGGTTAGGCAGAGAGTTACTTTTTGCGATTTATTGTTAAAAAAAAAGTGCACATAAGTTAGTACGAATTGTTAAAAGCTAGCAGAAACGAACAAGTTTTCAGCATCTTTCCCTCGCCTGCTATCTTACTCGTAACTGAGAGAGATGTTTAAACCAGTTTAACTTATTGTCTTACCTTCGCTGACACTGATCACACTGTGCGGTGGGAAGGTGGGTTGATTGTCATTCACATCAACTATGTGCACATGTATTGTTGCGGTACCAGTCATTTGTGGTACCCCCTCATCTGTGGCGATCACCTTCAATTTATACATGTCACGTATTTCGCGATCTAGTACAATGTTTGTCTTAACAATGCCGCTAAACGCGGGTTCAATGACAAACGCATTATCATGATTTCCGTCAACAATGTGGTAAAGAACGCGTGAGTTTGCCGTAGAGTCGGCATCAATTGCTTTAACTTGTGCTACAAATGTACCTTTGCTGTTACCCTCCCACACGGTGGCGGCATACTGTGGTTGTGTGAACTGAGGACTATTATCGTTAGCATCTTCCAACTCAACAACAAATTCGGCGTAGGCATACAATGGTGTTGAACCGACATGTGATTCGCTACGAGCCATCACCATCAACCTTATTTCATGCGGTTGAGTGTCTGTTGCCAACAACACCGGCAAGCTCTCCATGTCGCGTCGTCTCCGGGCATGAAAGCTTCTTAAAGGGTTTTCGTCTTTTAAATCACTTACACCGGTCAAATTGTCTATTCTTTCACTTAACATTTTATCGTTATACAAAATGGCGCGTCCACGAAGGTTTACGAAAGAAAAATTGATTCCTTTATTTGACGAAGCTAAAGGTCCATGATTTGTATCTACATAGCGTTCATAATCAAGTGCGCTTGAATTTGCCACCCTGATTTCTCCACTATTAGAATCTATTACAAATCCTCCGTCATCGTTATCAGTTCCAAAAGAATAAACGAGCTTTGAGCGCCTTCCATCCGAACGTAAGGCACTAACTTGTAACACTTGAGTGCCGACTAGAGAGTTTTCATTTAATTTCACACGATATTCATCTTTGTGAAATTTTAAGGTAGTGGCTCCGTTAGATATTTCACCAACTCTAAGCTCTATCAAACCTTTGGAAAACAGTGCCGGGTTACCTTTATCTCTTGCTATAATGTCAAGGTGTAAAAGTCGCCCCGATTCGCTAGCTAAACTTTGAGTTGCTGATAGTACCCCAGTATTTGGATTAATACGAAATTTTCCATGCAATGCGGGGTCATTTTCATCGTTAAGTGTGTACAAAACTTCCCCATTTAAACTTAAATCCCTGTCAAACGCGTTTACTTGTAGCAATGTTTGACCTGGTTGTATTAAAGCTGGCACGTGTGCCCGAAATGGATAACGTTCGAAAACTGGTTTATTATCATTGACATCATCGATAATGATTTGCACGGGTACGTGGGCCGAACGCGTATCATAACGGCCTCCGTCAGTGGCTACCACCGAAAAGGTAAAGAACGGTTGTCGCTCACGATCTAAATGCCTAGAATGATGGAAATAAATATACAATCATAAATCTAGTACTAGCACTATGTATCTAGTAATAAGAAAAGCACATTCCCATGCATATCACAAAAAAGCACATCTCGGATACTACATTTTTACACCACAAGTGGTTGTTAATACATTACATTAATAGTAATTATTTTTTGTATTAATATACTATTGAACGTCCCCATTATCATTTCTCCCACATATTCATTGCATTTCTTTTCATCCTTCTTGTGTATTTGTTGCTGCTGAGGCCCTTTACTTTGTACTTGCATATCAAGATTTACGTATTTTACCGAGGGTCTAATCGAGGTTTTGACTGCATTACTAGTCAATCCTTTTGCGGATTTTACGGTACGCTTCGGCTATGTGGACAGTCAACTATGTCAGATTACAATATTATGTGGCCCTTCATAATGTAAAATCTTTTAAACATCATCGTTTCATCCTTATACAAGCATATAAATGCTTAACCCGAATGATGTATCCTCTGATGAATACTTGGCGTGCCTCTTTTGTAAATTTTTAACCATTTAAAGTACAATTTCTTGTCAAATATATGGAATTTACGCAATAATGTGCTTGCAACCATGTTTTCGTGTTTATATTTTAGGAATCAAATGAAACTACATCCAATTATTCTATTAGAATCTGCAAAAAATATCGAAAACAACGTTGTCATGCCTCCCATAGTCGCAATAGATCAGTCTGATTGATTTTGGTAAAGGTAAAACTATAACGACAGAAACCTTAAGTCAATGCGCGTGCACAGAATAACAAGCCGACGCTTGGTTTCTCTTCGCTACCGCTGTGTGATCGTCTAAAAATAACTCGGCAATCTACTTAGCGAGCTTAATTTGATTTAAACTATAAACAAAAAGGAGATAAGTAATACTTACTATTATTATTGTTGCTAGATAAACACGGAGTATGTACTACTTAACATAGAGGGAGTGCAAATTTTTCTTATTGAGTAGCGCTGAAGACAATGGTATAAGAAAAATTAAAATAAAGTAAATAAGAAACTTGGCTTTTGGTCGATTTTAGACACTCTCGCTGATTAAACTTAAATTTGCGCCAACCTTTTCGATAGTGGTATCAAATATTAAATTATTGTCATTGTGAAACTTTTAATAATATTTTTAAGCAATCATTCGGATATTTGCGGATTTGTTCAGTTTTCTTATATCATATTTTTAGATTGGATGGATTTTTAAATGTTTTCAGTTAACTTGAAAATTTGTTGTAAAGTGCAACTTTTAGCAAATTTGACAGATGAACGGAATTGGCTACGCCGACGTAAACTGTCGTCATGGATATTACAAAGTAAACGACAGAGTTAGTCTTTGTAGTCCCTTATATGTATCCTTGCGTGATGGGTAGAAGTTTCTTGCTTTTTTCATTTCCTGCACTATTGGAAGCATACAAAAAAAGATTTGTTAGTTCGCAAAAAATTCGCTATTCGTGCACAAAGGATCAAAGCGCTAACTCAGAAAAAGAAAAATAAAAAATGCAAGTATATATATATATATACAGAATGTGTTTTAACAATGTTTTATTTCTTTGATTAGTTGACAACGGTGTGAGTAAAGCGAAGCAAAGGAATAAAGACATTGCAGAAAAAACGTTAAGTGACTCTTTATCGAGAATTGCTTAATTTCTAGCAAAATGTTTTGGACTAACATGTGATAGTTGCTGATTGAAAATGATGATTTATTATACGGCAAGTAGCTTGTTATGTAAAATAAGTTTATATACGTACTTGTAAAGATATAAAACGAACCAACAACTTCTTGGAATATAAATAAACCTAATAATATGAGAGTGTGTCAAGGATAACGAAAAAATCAAAGAATTGCGCAATGAGTACAATCATTCTTTCGGCACTTTAAAAATATATATCAAACTATATAAAAAACTGAAAGTAAACTTACCCCACGGTACTTATAATACCACTTTTATTGTCTATTGCAAATAACCATTGTGTTTCATTAGCGAGTGTATATAAAAGGCGACCATTTAAGCCTAGGTCCTCATCTGTGGCTTTAATGCGCATGACGCTGGTTCCGATGGGAACATCCTCAGCTACATTTACTAAGTACTTCGCTAGTTCGAAATGTGGATCGTTATCGTTTTGATCCCCGACATTGACAGTAATATTACAATGACCTTGATAACTAATAGGTGAGCCACGATCGTTTGCCTGTATTTGCAATATGTAACGCGAATGCTGTTCACGATCCAAAGGGCGAGCCGCTAATTCTCCCGTATGCATATCAATTGTAAATTTGTTACCAACATTTCCAGCTTTCAAAAAGGAAAGAGCAAAAAAATGAATATTAAGTGATTATGGTACTTTCAACTTTATTTGGTTTAGACATTGTTTGAATGATGAAATCTTGGTACCTATTATGCTATAAAAAATTTCAGCATTGGCTCCTTCATCTAAATCTGTAGCCACCACCGTGTGTATAACTGCCAGTTCATTATTTTCCGGCACGAACAGTGAATAACAAGATCCGGGGCGAAATTCAGGTGCATGATCGTTAACGTCAGTTACTGTTATGTGCAACGTAGTGATATCAAACTGCCTCTTTTGGTCCTCAGCTAAGTCGGTCAGTGAGGACCTTTGCTTTCGAGCTAACATTGAAGCATTCTTTTCGTTTCCATTCCAAACAATGCTATGGCCGCCACCGTCACGTTTGGAATTATAGACATAAATTGGCAGTGTGTAATGAGCTTTTGTTTCGCGATCAAATTGGCCATTAGTGGTGACAATACCATGGTTGGCATCAATGTGAAAATGGTTATCAGCAACACCTGTTGGTATTTCGTATGTGAGATTGCCTGAAATGTAAAGAGTAAAACTCAACGAATAAGAAGCCAAGTAAACCGCTAATGCAATGTTGGAGTTATGGTTTTAGAAGAGCAATTTCACAAATCACTCTTCCCGTTAATTTGGCTCCCTCTTTCTAGCAAAACCGGATACGAAGGACAGGGAGAATGTATGTGATAGAATTTGGATGTAAACAATAGGAGGGGCCAAGATTTGCACAAAATAATTTCAATTATTCGTCCAATTACGAAATGTAATTATTACAATCGTCACAACGTTATAACGCAGATCAAATGCATTTGCTTTCTATAAAATATTCGCTTAATATTAAATGCAAGATATTTTTTGTAAATTGAGGCTTCGAGGCAAACTAATAGATATATATATAACTAAACACATATATATTTTTATAAAAATTTTTAGAGCTTATAGTCAGAATATTTAATGCCATAAAGTATGTGACTACGGAAGTTAACTTTAAATTGCTTAATCTTAATTAAATTAAGCTCTGTACCCGCACGCTTTGAAAAAATTTGTATTTTTTGAATTAATTTATAAAATGCATTTTCTACATACCGACATCAAGTCCGTTATTTGATTTTGCTACCACTTGTATGACAAAGCTGTCCGTCTGAGCATTTTCAGATACATTTGCAAAATGAACGCTTTGCAGAAACCTCGGCGGCTTGCTTTTGGTATCTTGTACCACAATTTTCAAATTCAGCAGAGAACTTTTCCTCTCAGGTTCGCCATGATCTTGAGCTTTGATAAACAATTCGTATTTGTTTGGGTTCGTTGACATGAAACTATCAGGTTGAATGCTTTGATGTGCTGTGGGTATGGACGGTAGCCTTTGCGCCAATTCTACGATACCTGTTTCCGAATTGATGCGAAAAAAGCCCGAATCATTTCCTTCTTCAATACTATATGACAAGAGGCCATTATTGTCGGAATCTAGGTCGACGGCTACCACATGTGCTACAATTTCTCCAATACGTTTATTATTGTTGATAAACACGGCAGCTGAGGGTTGGACTACTGTTGAAAGGACGCTTTTAGTTGTTATGAGACCATGTTGTGCTTTTAGACGTTTAGGGGTTACAGCCGGAATAACGAATTCCGGTTCGTTGTCATTTTCATCCAATATTTCAAGCTTTGCACTTACTGTGCTATACAAACGTTCACTTTCATTTGCGGCCAAATCAAAACCCTGAACAATCAATGTATATTCCCTTAACGTTTCATAATCTAACGAGCCCACGAGAGTTAATCCTCCAGTTAACATATCAATAGTAAACAGTTGTTCTTCTCCATTTATACACCTCTCACAATTGTGTTTTGGGAAATATTGAATCAATTTGTATTGAACTTGACCATTACAACCGATATCAGCGTCCGAGGCTGTAAAGTTGTAAATTACTGTTCCTTCAGGTGTCAGTTCACTGACGCTGATATTGATAGGATTCTGAGACCAAATGGGGGGATTATCGTTTATATCGGTAACTTCAATTTTAACAGTGATCGTACTACTTTGAGGATTACTGACGGAGGTGGTGTCTAACGCACGTATTTCTAGACGAAACTCTGCTTGCGCTTCACGGTCTAACTGGCACGCTACTACAAGAGAACCGGTATGTCGATCTATATCGAAAGCTCTTTCTATGATATCTTTAGAAAGAGGAATTACACTGTACGTAACAAAAAAATCGTCGCCGTGGGAACTTATCTTTTGTCGATTGTGCGCCAAGACATCGATTGAACCAATTACTGAACCAACCTCAATATTCTCAGGTACCTGTTAACGACAAAATATGAATAAGAGGTTCCGTAGATTAATATAGACGTTAAGCAAAAAAAGAGAGATTTTGCATTTTTTATTACAGTTGCTTTTATTGCTCTGGCTCTAGTTAAATTTAGTTTATTCTTAACGCATTTGAGCTTCCATTAGCACACACTTATACGCTCTACCGTTCATCACGACTTTTTGTTGTCGCTAGTGTAGTTGTTCACTTTGTTGAGCGAAATTTCAGAAGTAACACTTTACACTTTAATATAAGCGTTAGCAATGCTTTTTAGATTAAAATTTTAATTTTCTATTAAAAGAATATTTGGGAAACCAAGACAAAAAACAACAATCAAGAACAAAAACTATGCATTCTATGATTTATCTTTTATGTGTGAATTTTGATTTCAAGATTGAACTTACAACACGTGGTATTCGACCATCAGAGTTTTTGTTGCTTCTGCAACTTTGTTATTACGCCATATATCTCTTATAGTACGGATTATATGATATTCGTGCTAATACACGTGACATCCAAAAGGACTTAATATAGACTCTTTCTGGATGCTATACACAGGCCTTTTACCACAAGTGGTGTGGGGTATAATAAATCGGAAGTTTGAAAACTACTCGAAAAAAATTGCCAAAAAGATCCAATTTTCAACACTTCATGGTGAAAAGTGGTCCATAATAGTAATCTGGCAACAAAGGATAATATTGGAAAATGTGAAAGTGATCAAACACAAACCAAGTGCCTTTACCATGCGAGTTCAACTGAGCCGTACTTATCCATCGTTTTAATTTCTTTCAAAATCAAAGATCGGACAAGCTCGATTGCTTAAAATTATTGAAAATGAATGCATTTACAAACGGCCCCGTCGATCCACCGTTTAACAGTGGAAAACGTAGTATGTAACCAACTATTCTTTTTCTATGTGTTCATTGTGATTAGACGGCAACCGTCTGTCAATACCCTATCTATTCCTTATAAGCATACAGTTTTCTGCTGCACATCGCTCGAAATCAATTTGCATTGTAACGGGTGAAGATGAGTTTTAAAAAGGAACAAAGATGTATAGTAGACCCAACTATACTTTGCCAATTATAAGAATAAAGCAATGTACGTAAAGAGATATTCTTTTAAAAAAACCGTGTAAAAGCGAATGCTTTCACATCATTTTGAGGATCTGATTTTGTGGAAGTATAGGCATGTTACATACAACGTAAAACGGAAAGGCATTCGAAGTTATTTGATTCGGTACGAAATCGTCGACTTTTTGACTAATTGTTAGCGTAGCGGTAGCGTATATATACATTTTTTTTATTCACATTTTTTATTTACATATTATTATATATATGTACATATATAGATATATATGTATATATAAAAACTTTAGGAAGTTTTGATCATTTTTTCACGATTTACTGCTGTTTCTACATGCGTCCTCTCTATATGAATCAAATCAATTTTTTGCTAAAGACAATATGAATGTATCAATAATAAGAATCGTTGTCCAATGTCTTACATTTTACAATTATATACTGTAGTGTGATCGCATACTATCGTATGCATCCACTTGAAGTGTGACAAAATTATGCCACTTCAGCATAACCCTTTTGATAAAATTAAATGTCACACTTCACTTCGCATGTAAACAGTGATAATTCTGTTTATAAAAGAATAATCTAGTGTGTGATAAGGATAATTTAGTAAGCAATTACAATCCTGTTTAGAATAAGGTAAGAATAATTTAGTGTAAAAATTTAGTATAAATAGTGCCTAAGAAAATAAAGAAAATCAGTGCTCGTCAGAGTTCTCATAAAGCAACTCAACCAAGCGTTTTACTCGCTAATAGCACTAGGTATTCAATCTGCCTGAACCATTAAGATTAGTGACCGTCTTATGTCGAGACACTTTAGCATTATAAAAGACGGATAGACTTGGCGTACTGCAGCCGAGCAGCATAGGGCCTAAACAGATAATCAATAAACACACGATACTGTATCAATCTTATTACATAGCGATCCTGCGACCGATCCCGCAACCACGCAGTAACCTGCCCTTATTTTTTTTTGAGGCAGAAAAAATTTTTTTTATTATTCCAAAAAAAAAAAAATGTTTTTCCCAACACGATTCCACTAAGGCAGCCAAAATTTTCGATTCCGCCCAAACAAACTTTACACACAATGATTCCACCCGAGGACAACAGTCAAACTTCGAGGCAGAAGCTCGGATCCTACCAACATACTACACACCTCCCACAACAGCCGACCACACAATGATCCCACCCTAAATTAGAAAATATATATAAAAAAAAAAAATTTTTTTGTAAAGATGAACAGAATAATTAAAGAAAAAAAAAAAAAATTAAAGTATATATATGACAAATACAAATTAAGAAGAACAGATAGATACGTAGAATATTAACATATAAAAAAAATAGCTATTTAAAACACAAATTAAGTTAAAATGTCTTACCACACAAAAAAAATACTAATAATAAAAACAAACAAAAACCAATTTCAAACACACCAACAAATAACATTATATTTGAGCAACTTTTTCTGTTACAACCAGAAGTAACCTATTTGGGACACCTAATAACAACCCCACCCAACTAAAAGCCAATCGCTACGATCCTCTCCTCAAAACTTGTATTTTATGACGGTAAAGTCACTGCTACACAAGATGCAGTGTACAGACAGGAAATCCTCTCCCACCAACATTTACTAATGATTCCTCTAAATAATACACAAGCTTAACATGCAAAGGAGTTTAAAAGGACAATTGAATATCCAGACTACTGTGGTACGCTCTCGGAAAAATTGATCTGTTTAGCTCCCAAGAATGCATAGAAATATAAGAAGAATATATGAAAATTATTTAAAAATATATGAAGAAAGAATATCAAAATGAAGACAAAGTATATATCAAAGAATATAAGAAGAATATATGAAGAATAGAATATTAAAGATTATTAATGAATATATGAAGAAAATTAAAATGAAGAAGAAGAATATACGAAGAATAGAAAAAAGAAGACTACATAAAGTGTGCAAAATAAAACAAAAAATAAAATATATATATATACATTAAAATGTAGATAAAGAACACATTGAAATGAGGAATATTGAAAAGAGTAAAAAAAGGGGATAAAACCACATAAATGATGAATAGCAAAGACATAACAATAAACTCACCCAATGACGACAAATATATGAAGATTATTTAAGAATATATGAAAAAAATGTTAAAACCAAGAAGATTAACATTGCAATGAGAAATATTGCAAGGATAATTGTATTTGAAAAGTAAATAAAGGGTATATAACTACATAAATCAATGACAAGCCGAAATCATTATTACAAAACTTAACCTAAACTAAACCCAACCAAATTATTTTGCATAACATTGTATCAATACAAATAAAAGACATGTCAAACACTATAAAAATTTAGTACACTAAATTTAAGAAATGAAAAATTATAAACCAAACCTAATTAAGCCTAAAAATACAAAACTATAAAAATTTAGAACTACAAACCAAATACAATTAAAAACTAGGCATACAAAGCTAAACATTGAATCAAAAAAAAAATTACCGTCTAAAATCCTCTTTCATAACAGAAAATTGTTAACGTCTATCAACACATTAACAATTTTCTCTCTAAAACGGTAAGGGTGCAGTGTGATCGCATACTATCGTATGCATCCACTTGTAGTGTGACAAAATTATGCCACTTCAGCATAACCCTTTTGATAAAATAAAATGTCACACTTCACTTCGCATGTAAACAGTGATAATTCTGTTTATATAAGAATAATCTAGTGTGTGATAAGGATAATTTAGTAAGCAATTACAATCCTGTTTAGAATAAGATAAGAATAATTTAGTGTAAAAATTTAGTATAAATAGTGCCTAAGAAAATAAAGAAAATCAGTTCTCATCAGAGTTCTCATAAAGCAACTCAACCAAGCGTTTTACTCGCTAATAGCACTAGGCATTCAATCTGCCTGAACCATTAAGATTAGTGACCGTCTTATGTCGAGACACTTTAGCATTATAAAAGACGGATAGACTTGGCGTACTGCAGCCGAGCAGCATAGGGCCTAAACAGATAATCAATAAACACACGATACTATATCCACATTATTACAATACGTTCAAGTACATATATACACACATATCCATATAAATATAGATTAATATCATGTTACTTTTGTTAGTTTGAAAACCAAAAAAAATTTCGCCTTGATTGAAGATGAGATGGAAAAGATATTATTTAAACTATGGCTTGAAAAGTAACGAGAGTTTACGGGGTGTCTGTATCTGACATCCTGAAGATATCAACGGTGGTGTAGCCACTCTTTTGCATGAAAACTTGAACTTGGGGGAGGCGTTTTCGTTATTACGGCGAAATTGTATGAATTGAAACTTAAATTGTTGTCGCATCTAAGAAAATCATCTACTTGCAGCAAAAGAATTGTTTTTTAAATGGGGTATTGAACTATTAAAGAAGAGTTGACGTAGGAATCTTAACTTTGCGAAAACATTTTTCTTCTTACTTAGTCCGGAACCGGTATATTGCAAATATAATTTAACGCATACGTTTTCATGCCAAAGGGAAAAAATTAAGAAGATTTTAATCCAATTTTTTTTTTTTTTTGAGTCTTGGCGACTTTCGCATGCTCATCTTCCTTAAGTTAGTCTAAAATATTTTGCTGCCTTAAGCTTTCAGTGGTGCTTTCTATTTTTTTGTTTGTTATATCGTGAGGCCAAAAATGCATGCCAAAAACATTTACCTGCATGTTTTCTCATGCGGATGATAAAATAAATAGAAAAAGTAAACGTACCGAAAAAGTTAGACTGCAACTAGTAAACGTTGGTCGATTGTCATTCAAATTTAGCACTTCGACACGAAGCAAACGAATCGATTGTTTAGGTGGATTGCCACCGTCTGTTGCCGCCACAGTCAAACGATAAATGCTGCGCTCTTCGTGATCCAGTGTAACTAATGTGCGAATTACACCTTTGCTCGCGTCTATGCTAAACAAACCAAAGCCATCTGAATCACGGCCCTTCAATATCGAATAAGTGATTGATGCATTTTGTCCGTTATCGCGATCGACTGCACGTACGTGCACTACTTCGGTGCCAGGGGGTTGTTCCTCCCGTACACTAATCACATCTTCTTGTGGGTCAACAATATCTGGTGCATTATCATTTACGTCACTAACAAGAACCTTGATTGCGACACGTGTTCTACGGCTTGGTGTTCCTTTATCACGAGCTTCAGCCACCAAGTCGTGGACCAATTGTTGTTCACGATCTAGTGGTTCGCGTGTTATAACTTCACCTGAAATGTAAGCAAATTTAAGTACACAAAAAATACCATCAAAATTATTTTGTTGTTGCCGTAAATAATATAGAAGCCGACCACTAATAACAATGAGTACAAGTATTAAATCCGCACACAGATCGGGTTTACAACATCTGTCGTAAAGCGGCCGGCTTTTAATGAATCCTATTCCTCCTTTTCGTTGGTGCAACTTTTTGAAATTGCTGATCTCTTAAGAGTTGTGATTAAAATGGGCAGGGAGCACAAGATTTTGAAAATCGTTTATAATTTATGAATTTAGTTGCACAGAAAAATACCGGCGGAAAATTTTATATAATTTATCTTAATATTTTGTGATATGCAATAGAGACCACTGAAGATTTAATAAAACATCACACGACGTTTGTAGAAAGAAGACCAAAAACTTTGTTGTAGCCGAATATAATTTTTCTTCGAAATAAGTTGTCAACATTAATTAACGATAATCAAGTATGATGAAAGTTTGCTCTGCGTAGGACTTCGACTATTATAATGCAGAAAAATGTATTTCTGCTCTAAAACAAAATTATTCAGAATTAATCTTTTTAGATCTATTAACTTTAAGATCTAAATGGGAAATATGAAGAAAAATAACTATTTACATATAGGTACATATATTTTATGTATGAGGCATATCGTTACGCTTTTTTTAAGGAGCTAAGTCTTAAAATGAAGTTGTTCAATGTGCTATAGACATATCTTTTTTCCCAATAATTTCTTCTTTACTCTTCTCATTAATCTGCGATTCCCGCACCATAAAAATGGACGTTTAAAGATTCGTCACGCTTTCCTTTTCTCGCCGATACTTGTCCCAAAGTCACCTTTTTATTGCAGACTTTTAACATTTTGACGGTTTTCGATTTGCTCTCAGCGTCATATTTCCACGAAGGACGCCTTGATAACGCTACAATAACCTTTTTTTTTTTTTGAAAATGCCTTTAAATTAATGTAAACAAGAGCGACTAGTGTACTAGAAGATTTAAAAATAATAGATAAAACATTTCGCTGTAACTTCTCGGCAAGGGCGAAATTTCAAGAAAACCATATTCGAAGGAATTTTGCATATATTTTTCGTTTCATTTCTTGCAAAGCAGTTGGAAACTGTTGCAAAGTGAACGGACGGATTCATGATGCTGGTCCTAATACACGTTACCTCCAGAAAACGTATATGGCAATTATTCGGCCTAGGCTACAAGGACACAACTTACAACTTCATTCACTATTGCTGGTATCGGTAGTAATGGTGATTTCTATATATAGCATTGTCACATGTATATATGTATATATATATATTATAGTATATATCCATATAAAAACTCTTAGATTCCCATATATACCCTTCTTATATACAGGTTCATTACATCTCTTTGTATACATGTATGTGTATTATAAAAACTTTACATCCATTTCACTCTTTCATATATACGTATCCACCTTGCAATATTTACTTATATACCTTACACATATATCGGTCTTCTTTGGATAACGCTATATTCTTTATAATATATATATTTATTACATTCTTCTATGTATACACGTAACTATTGCATCGTTATCGCATTCTTAATGTATATACGTATATATATTACATCATCTACTTATATAAAACCCTAAGTTTTATACATTTATCTTATGTACAAACTCATACTATCATAACTTATAAATACTTTATGTTCATTTCACTATTTCATGTATACATATCCACCTTATATTTGCTTATATATCTTATATACATGGCGGTTTATTTTGGGACTATACTGAAATTTTTATATACACCTATATTTCCTATATAGACACTTATTATATTCTTTTATATATACTGATTACATTGTTATCCCAATTCTTATATATGTATATACCATTCCTTATATATATATAGATATATATATATACATATATATATGTATATATACTTAAATCATACATTTATGAAAATTCTTATATTCATTGTACACCTTTATTTTGTACACCCTAATTTGTGCACACCTACCTTATGATATTTACTTACTTCTTTATGTATATACCTTATCTACAGCATATGAATACATCTTATATTAATACACGTAGTTGATGTAGCTTATAAGAAACGAGCAAAGGACGCGAAAGGCAAAAATGTTCTCAGTTTTGATTATATAGACGTCGCAGACTTAGTCTCGCTGGCTTGTTCTTTGACTTAGGCTAATTTCAGACTGTTTTCCAAATTTCAGACTGTTTTCCAAATTTGTAGGCGATATATCCTTCTTTGCGAGTATAATGAATTAACGAATGGATAGATGGATGGACGAGCAGACTTCACTTTTTGTAGAGTTATCTCTTGCAGTTGATGAGAAATGCACGGAAAAACAATTTTATATTTGTGTTGAGAAATGTAGATATTCTCAGATTATGTGGTTCTGTAGGCGCGTCCTTCCACCATAGATGCGACGAGGAGAATGTTTACAACAGACATTACACAGACGGACATACGGACATGCTTAAATCTTTTCAGAATTTGACCCTGGTCAAGAATATATATACTTTGAGGGGTCTCTGAAGCTCCCTTATTTTTTTTTTTTTTTTGGTATGTTGAATGGAGATGAACTAACCCAATAGAATTTTGTGGCTTATATGTCCATAAAGCTCCCTTATTCTTTACGAATAATTTTTTATAAAACTTATTGTTGCCTTCTTAGTCTATCACAGTTCTATGTTCTACTTCTCAATTCGTTTTTTTTTCGTTTGCTTTAATGACTTTGAAAATGTCAAACTATTCCTCTTCTGTTACTTGGAATCGTGCTTCTATTTCTTGCTCAGGAGGAAGGGCAGTCACAGAAGGGCACATTCTTTTGTTTACATGTTTAGTTAAAACTTACGTTTTTATTGTTTACCTAAGCGTTGTCTGAGGCGTTCGGTACTAGGCTGCCTTGAATTTTAGCCTAGCGAGACCGATGATCCGTAAATAAAAAGATATTACACATAAAGTGAACACTGCATATAAATATTACATAAACGCGGTTGCAAGATAAAATTCGACAAGCTACGCGTGCTAACTCTAAATCAAGTATGATGGACACCAAGACGTAGCGGAATAATTTTTTTAACATTTCCTTTGACCAAACTAAGTGAGGTACTGGAGAACATCTTAAACTCCCGATAAATTTGAAAAATATTTAGTCTTCCTTTGAAAAAGATATACATCAAATTCGAATAAGCAGGACGGAAAGACATATGAAAACATCACCCCTACTCGATTTAAGCTCTCTAACTTCAAAAAGTGTAATAGAAAAAATTTCCAACGAATAAATATTGACTTTAAGCTAAATTTCGACGTATGCCGAACAATATAATATCGGTTACATTAAATAATAATTACTGGGCCTGCAGTTTTTTGCGCTACTCTTAATAGCTGCAAGTGATGGACAATTTCTATTATGAACTTCCCCCTTCAATTTTTAGATTAAAAAGCTTTGTTACCATAACGTTTTGTACAACACAATTCCGAATTTTTGTGGAAACTAAAATCCTAAAGGACGATACAGCTCTAGATTGAAATGAGAACATTTTCAATGTGGTAACTCGACTTAAATTAACAATGGGAATTTTTGCAAAGCGATATTTCTTAATGTTATCAACTAAATTATTAGGTGCAAATCTTATTGGCATTACAGGTTTGCGAGTGAATTGAAAGAAATAAAAATAAATGGAATGAATCTACCTGTGAATAAAAATAGATGGATGTTTCTGATTTTTTTTATTTATATGTGATTTGGGCTGGTTGCGGCCAAAAAGTAGAAACATTCTTGGTCAGTAACACAATCGTCAACAGCGGAACTTCCTTGCCGATTTATCTTAGCAACTGACTACTGGTTATGTACTTTTCTTGGGAAGGCAAGGATTATTATACGGTTCGGTGATGCGAGCGAGCAAAATTTGCGAAGGGACGGAAGACAACGACAACGGCACGATATTTCCGTGGAACATGTGAGAAAGAAAAAAAACACAGTAAAATTTTAAATAAACTTTAAATCATAGAATCAATTCGCAATTAACCGCGACGAGATTGCTTTGCAAGGCGTACGCATGACGCAAAGCAAATATTTTATGCCGCATACATCACACGTTTTTATACAACTTAGCAGCATCTTCAGTAAAAGCGTCCTTGGATTCAAATTAGAAGTTTTTAGGCATTGATGTGGTTTCTTGCTTTGTAAAGATTTAAACTCTAATCGAAAATTTCTCGAAAATGTTAGCTTACAAGTGGAGAAAACGAGAGGAATTAGTAGTTGTTTGGTAATTGTTGCATCAGTCGTTTACGTAATTTTTCATATTACGAGAATTATTACAAATTATTACAAATAATTTAAAGCAGATTTGCCGATTAACTTTGGATGTTGTGGTAGTATTTTCAGCAAACAAGCCCTGAGATCGTAAAAGAGCATGGATCCGCCATGAAGAAGTGAAAAAGTAAATAATTCTTTGTTTTTCTTCTTTTCTTTTTTGCAATATTTATTCTTCCATTTTCTATTTTTCATATTTTGTTCCTGGCTTCAAATACTTTTTTGTACTCGTCACAAAACTATGATATATATCTTTTGCTATGCTACACCGTAAAAGTAACTTCAGAGTTGCTGTAAAGTGTACATATTCTTTAATAGTATGAAGATCTGAATACTTTTAAAATTCTGACCGATGGACAGATATATACACCGTATGAGTTTTGAACATAAAGGCACATTCTAGTAAAATCACTAGCCTCTCTTCATTTGGTATTAGTTGCCGAACCAATACATATACTGTGCATTTCTCCGCAAAGGTTTTATTTTACGATAAGAAAATCTTCCTTTCTTTATCAACATAAAAGTAAGTAGGCGACGTTTTATTGATGACAGGTTGCTGAGTTTATGATATAAGAAATCTACGAGTTTATGATATAAGTACTACGCTCTTAAAAGCATGGTTTTCCATGTGTTTTATGTATAGAATATGTGGGCAAATAAATAGAAACCTGTCTCAAGTCGGAAGAAGGGTACATAGTATTCAAAGGCACAAGGACTATTGCAGAAGCAACAGAAAAATGCAGCGAAAATTTGTGAATTGATTTCGCATATCCATAAAGTCAGACGTAAATTTATACTTGATTTATGCGTAGAGAAAATTAAGCTCTTCTAAGGTATGGTGCAAATGTGTCTACAGGGAAATAGTATCAATAAAGATACGTTAAGGGAGGAACAAATAGTACTTAAATCAAGTTTAGCTTGTTTTAATTATAAACTCATCATTTATTTTCAATTTGAAACAATGCGTAAATGCAACGTAGGAAAAACAAGCGAAAACTTACCCGTTAGAGCATTAATTTGAAAACTTCCGTTTGTCGGAAACAATCGGTAGCTAACAGCGGCGTTTTCAGCCAAATCCAAGTCAGTTGCACCAACAACACCGACCAGAGAGCCGGGAACCATATTCTCTTCAATGTGAAATTCATAAGCTGGACTGAGAAAGCGAGGATCATTGTCGTTGGTGTCCAAGACATTCACAACTACATGTGCATAAGCTTTGACGGGTGGAGTGCCGTTGTCGCTGGCCATCACATCCAGTTCAAAATAAGCACACGTTTCGCGATCAAGTGGTGAGCGTAAATAAATCCAACCATTATTTGAATAAATGCCAAAAGATCGATGTGCATCGCTAGCCATTGTCGAAGAGCTGGAGCTACAGCCAGATGGCAACGTTGTAGTAATTTTCTTAAATTTCATTGAATTTATCGATTTTTGAACACTTGTTTTGTCACTGCTATCATTGCTGTATTCACTAGTAAGATTGTAGATGATGCGGGCATTGTTTCCTTTATCCCTGTCTAAAGCCTTTACTTGCAAAATCTGAAAATGAAAAACACATAAATTTTTTTGCCGAATTACAAGCATTTTTTCTTTCATTAAAATTTTATTACGAAAGCCGTATCGTCACTAAGATTTTCATTTTCAGTTGTTCAGGTCGTATATATTTTAAAATTTTTGGATCAAATGAAGTTAGTTTTCCGTTTTGAATGTTTTGCTACACGTGTGCTTAGCCGTACAGTAAGCTGTTCTATCGGATCTGTTTTAGCTGCAAAATTGGAGATATAATTTTCTCTTGCCTTCGTAGATTGATTTCTTTCTGCCAAATTTCTTAGCTACAGATGGAAAAGTGGAGTAGAAACTTAGCGCGTTCTTGGTTACGGTTTCAAAAAACTTATGATTTTAATAAAGTTTTGTCAACATATCATTTTGTCACTTTGTTTTGTGTTTTGTTTGACCCATAAAACAAAACAATATAATTGCCAAAGGTGGGCCAGACATCAAGAAATTTTCAATTGCAGTTTTGGCTCTAATAAACGGGTGTTCATGTGGACTTAACAGCTTATGGTCGACGAGAGTATATTTGTTTGGTGTTGAAAATGTAATGGAACGGTGAAAGACGTAAGATGTATGACAATTACTAGGTGCATTCTTGTATTATTGCAAAAAAATTAATTTTTCTAAAATCACATGAAATCATATCGTTTAGTTGTGTCAGGGATTCGTTTAATGATTCGTATTGTTGCGCAAAGCTTAAACATCCTATTTAACACGGAGAGATTATGGAAGTTGTAAAGGCCTTTGGTGTTATTTTATCAAGTTATCGAGAAAAAATTTTTTTTTTCGAAGGGGACTTCTCTTTTTGATTGGGATGGTTGAGAAGAGGGGGTTGCAGTGAAGATTTTTTACTGAAACATGGTAAGGAAAAAAATTCTAGAAAACATTCGAAATTAATTATAAAATAAAAACGTTTTGCATTTTGAATCGAAATGAAATGGTGTGGTTATCCCCCTTTGACTGAGCGGATCTAAAAACAAAATTTATGATATTTAATTTTAATAAGATAACATTATTAAAAAAAAACTGTGTTAAAATTAAAAAATTAATTGATTGATATTTTAACATGGAATAGAAAAAACGCATTAAAATTTAAGCTTATTGAACGTCTTCAAGAAAAAAAAGGCCAAGAAAAGATAAAGATGTGACAGAGAAGGAAAGCTCGATTACGCCAATTTGCTTTGTTTAGAAAAAACTTTGGGAAATTTTCCAAATTTAAACAACAGAAAGAGAGAGAAAAAACTACAATTTAAACAATGCAAACATTCGGCTGTTGAAAGGAAAAAAGAAAGCAAACTTAATACAAAAATTTAAAATATATGCAAGAAAGATGCATCCTAAAGTGATATGAAAGAGGCAAATACATATTAAATAAAAAAAGGCAATTACCGGGTCACGTAACCCAGATAAAATCTAAAGATACCAGATAAAATGTACAAGGCGAACCAGATAAGGAGTTTATTTATTTATCTTTGTACTTTAAATTGTTTAAACCATATATATATATATAATTGTATTAAATATTATCTTTAAATAATGATCTATTCACTGCACACAAATATGAATAAAGACGCTGTTAGTTTAATCGCACTTTCGATTCCTTTTTTTTTTATTTTTTTTAATATTATTTGATTTTAAATAAAAAAAGGCTGAATTGGCCGTCAGAATAAAATATATAGAACGATATTGGACCCATTTTATACTTTTGTCTGCTAGCAACATGTCCAAGTAATTCCATAATTGACCGGTATTTCCGCCTTTGTCAACATTATCCGCGAATCTTATGCTTCAGGCTATCTGTTTGTATTAACATTTTCAGCTCTACTGTAAAGCAAGCATGACTTTAAAATAATTGAAAGTACAAACGCGTTCGCGCAGCAATACGTGGGACCGCTCCTATTGACGGAAATAACTGGGAAAACACACGTGCGCTACTTAAGGCGTTTATACAAAAAGAAGAGTAATAAAGGGTTGTACGTTACATATTATCCAAAACACTGTAGTAACGTCCGCGATCTATGTTAGAAACATTTTAATTTACATCCATGTGTCCTATTATTGTCGCCTCCGATTTAATTCAATTAGTTGTTTTTTTTTTCATAGCTTTTTTGAGTATAAGTCGGCTTTATCGTTGCTTCAAATTGCAGACGAAAATCGTTTGCACAACATGAATAAACACGAAAATGTATCAAAACTTTTTATGTTGTTTTTTTTAAACAACAAAATATGCAAATAATGAGGTAATCTGTGTAGGCTTATTTGTATGAAATTTTTTTTGAACTCTTCCATGTCACCTTTTGAGTGCAGTTGAGAGTATTATGATTGACTCTTGATGTTATGCTAAATAAAGTTCGAATATGTCAATGGTTGTAACAAATATCATTAAAAAAACATCGCCAACTACCCGAAGTAGGGAATAATCGCTTTTAAATTCCTTTGACCGTAGTAGTTCGCAACTCTTAGCTTAGGTCCTAAATCTTTTTGTTTTGAAAACTTTACTTTTTAGTCCAAATTTATTTTTAATATTTGAAAAAGCAAAATGCAAATGGTTCTATAAAATTATATATTTGACATTATACTTTGATCGTAAAATTTTCTTTTGAAAATATTTACAACTTAAATTTTTCTTTTTTTATTACTTTGGAGTTATTCTCATTTCCATTTGTTGTATCTTTTGTTGCTTCAATTCTGCACGTTGACTTACTTGTGAGTTAACGGACAATGATTCCAAAACTTCAATATGATATTCATTATGCTCGAAAACTGGTGGATTGTCATTCACATCCTGCACTTCCACTACTATTGTTAAATTGTTGGAATAACGGGCCGGATTGCCCGAATCCCAAGCGGTGACAATTAGTGTATGTCGCTGTGCTGTCTCGTAATCCAAGTGTCTTAACAATGTTAAGTGACCCGAACGTGCATTGATGGTAAACAAATTCTTGGTTGTAGAACTACCAAACGCAGCTTGATTAGCAGAGTAGTGTATCGCGGGTCTATCCACATTTGCTGCTGGAAAGTTTTGTGGTGTATGTGCAGAGACAGAATTAGAACGTAAACTTACAGCCAAAGCAGACGTCGTGACATTGTTGTTCATTGTGGAGCTAAACGTGGTCAGTTTATAAGTGACCTCACCATTTTCACCAGAATCCTTATCGTAGGCATTGACAGTATACAATGGCTTACCCAATGGAGCATTCTCTGGCACTGAAAAGTGCACGGTACTTATAACAAATTCAGGAGAATTGTCATTAATATCTTCAACGGTGATAAAGGCCTGCGAAATAGTGAAATTGCGCAAAAAACAAAATTTACAAAAAAATTAAAACTCGAAAAGCTTTAGGGAATTTTTCTACTTTCAAAAATAGCTATATGCAAACATTCGGCATTTACTTGGGTATGACTTTCTCTTTTCGTTTGCAGTCCTGCAGTAGCCTTTATGTTTAATAATACAATACTTTTTATTTCGGAATCCAAGTCATTGTTTACTCTTATGTTGCCGGAGTTCTCATCAATGCTAAAGAAATTATCAGGATCCCCTGAGTATATGGAATAACGTACTCCATTAGCATTTGCTGAAAGACAAGAAAAAAGTGACAATTCATTATAATAAAGGAAACATTTGAAAAAATTCAAGCACAATCGAAGCATATTGTCAAAACTCTTTAGCGGAGGGGGGAAGGTGGAAGTTGTGCACTTTAAAAATTCTTTACTTTTATATTGGGAGTTAAGTTTCTCTCGCAAATAGTCATAGAGTTAAATATATAGGAAACATAAAATAACAAGAAAGAAAAGATAAAGAATCGCAGTCATTATGTGATATTTACACAAACTACGTCATTACTCATTATTCTAATAATTCCCACAATGCACACTTTCTTAAAACAATCAAAGAAGCACAAGGTGCGAAAAACAAAAATTTTGGTTTAAATTCTTTTTCATATTTTTCTTTTTTTGTTGAGGGGACCTTATATACATGTATTTAACATATTCCAATTCTACCGGCCAATAATCTTTTAAGGTATCGCAGGTATCTCACCGCAAAACCTTCATAAAGTCTGTTGGCGTAAATAATACATATATGTAATAATGCATTTATGTATTGGAGATCGTCACCGTAGTGTGTAAACGTAAGGTTAAGCTAAGACTAAAAGATTAAAAAGAAAAAATATAAACTAACAAGGACGAAGGCTTATATTCTGATGGTTTATAAGATTACAGTTGAAATTTTACTTAGCGTTGGTTTACTGCTTCATTTTCGCAAATTGTTGTTAACGTTGTAGATAACATGAAATTTTGTAAATTTTAAAGAATTTCATCAGTTCTGCTGTGGGTGTAATAAAAGTATTCCCGAAAAGCGGTTTGTTTGTGCTATCAATAAAATGTCCAAATATTTGTTTCTGAGCCATTGAATTAATGAATATATTCTTACAACTTTGCACATAAATATATTGTCATTTTGACGCTTTCTTTGCACTTTTCGTGACTTCATGTTCATGAATCTGTTTATATTTTCCTTTCTTCCCCTTTTCCAACTTACAAGCATCTGTGTTCGTGGCAATTACGGAACCTACGATCGCTCCCCTATCAGCATCCTCTTTTACGTAAAAATTGTAATGTAACTTTTCAAACATTGGTGGTCGTTGTGTGGCATCCATAATGCGCACATTAACGAGAGCATCGTCTATCGTTCGTAAGCCACCACCATCGCTAGCTGTTACGTTTAGCACGTGCACTGCTTGGTTGCGCATCGTCAACATGCCAGGCCGATTAACAAATATTTCACCACTTGTACGATCTATACGAAATATGCCAGCTTCATTCCCAGATATAATGCGGTAAGTTACGGCGCCAAAGCGTCCAGTATCGGGATCGTGGGCAATAACGGTTAGTATGGAAGTACTGATGCCACTGACAGTCGATTCTCGCAATGAAACGTTATATTCACCAGGATAGAAGACAGGTCGATTGTCATTAATATCAATCAAGTGAATTTTAACCATAGCTGTTGTGCTTAGACCACCTGCAATAAAATGTAAGATGGATACGTATATTATCCTTCATTCGAATCCTGTATATACCTCTTATAAAAAATTTAGATTATATTATATTCGAACAATATTTCGCTATTTGAAAGCATATCAAGAAAGGTTTGCAAACACTTTTATACCATTTTAAGTATTTAGCAAATCTTGGACCAAATTTTATTGTCTTCACCAGATTTTGCAGCTTAGAAAGGCGGGCAGACAGTCTTATGGCCTCATATCACTTAAAATCGTATACAGGTGTACGATGTGGGTATAGACGTCTTCACGTAACAAACACAAATGAAACGATTATATTCGGTTGTGGCCGAATCTTTTGTATCCAGCACATTTTAAAAGCATAAAAAAAGAATAATAAAATGTTCTTGTTCTACTGCATTAGCCATAACCAATTTTTCCCATTTTTCTACACATACTGTAGCACGGTGGTAATTTTTATTACTTTACCCATTACAGGATATATGTAAAGAGCAAAAAACTAATTTTTTTGGCTCTTAAAAACTTAGATGTTCTTAATTCACATGGTAATGTACGCCTGTCTTTCAACTGATCTGGCTTATTTCTAATGCCAGCCACTATATCCATTCTTGCTACTAAATTTGAAGCCGACAGACGCATTCTTACGGCCAGGAAACTTTTTACCACAGATATTAAAAGTACCCGAACGGACAGATGGACACCCTCGTGTCGATCCAGAATTTGATGCCAATCGAAAAGATAACCACTTTATTGGGTCTCTCATGTTTCTTAATGCATATTGCAAACATTTTACCAAAATGATTATGCCGCTATGCTTCGGTGCTACGTATAAAAATAAACTATTAAAAAAAAAGTATCACTTATACAATTATATTTGGAATTGTTCTACATTTTTTTGTTAAATCAGCAATATTTAAATAATTAAAAAGGAATCCATTCGATTAGTTAGTGTCTTATGCGCCTAAGCCATCGTGTAGGTAAGAATGAAGTCCGTGGTCGCGGGTTTAAATCTCAAGCGAGGTAGAGTTTTCTTTGGTTGTGGCTGTAGTGAGTGTTCAAGTGTTAAAGGTATAACCTTTATTGATTGGACACACCACACTAGGCTGCAGCCGCCACCTCCTTATTATTTCTTCTTTACACTCTCCTTTTTGATAGTCGCCGTGTTAAACGGAGTGAATGGTTATATTATAAAAAAAAAAAGTGATAAAAACATAGTTAATAACTCACCGCGATCATATGCAACAACGGGAAATTCGTATATGTTGCGTTTTTCAAAATCCAATTCTTCAGTTATGCATATTTCACCAGAAGCCGAACGAATCTCAAATTCCGTCAGGTTTTGTTGGTTTTCTTCGTTCAATGTATAGTTGACCATTGCGTTGACGCCGCAATCCGCATCAACAGCCGTCACCTGCAACATTGGCACAAACACCAACAAAAATGAAGATGTAAATTCAATTTTTTTTTTTAATCGTTTAACGAAAACAATTATGTATCATGAAGATAATCATATATTAATGCAACCAGTGAATAAAAATGAGTTAAAGCTACTCGCAAACGCACGCGACCGCTTGTAACTAAATATTTTGTTTTTCTTAAGATAATGCCATCAATACTTATAACTTATCTACCTAATTTTGGGACTGCACTAACGAAATATAGTAGTCTTTTCGATTTTACTTCCGATTTTAACCTCCAGAAATTAAACTGCAGTTGATTTAATCAGATCCTACTGTCTCATCCGTTGTCTTGTAATTCAAACGTTCGCAAAAGTTGGTATTTGATGAAAACTTACATTCAGCACATATGCTCTTATCACTTTTAAAACTGAGTGAGAAAAAGTTGCTCTGAGAAAGAGAGACAGGAAAGGTATATGACTATAATTTTCGATTATTCGCAACTTAATTGACCGATAGTCGTCGATTTAAAATTTATTAAAAATATTCCACAAACTCTAAGAGAACTTCGAATTGTGCAACCATTCCAGCCATACTCAAGAAAAAGTCGTTATGAATCTTGGTATTCAACATTCAGTTCAAAAGAGGTTGAACCTGTCTAATATGTTTCTATTCATTTACAATATTTAAAATTTAATTTTTTTGTTTTGCCAAAGAGTCACTGAGAAAGCACTAGGAATTTGAAGGTTAAATTAAGATTCCAGTAATAAAAACAATACCTATCACGCTACATAAGTTGGCTTCGTTATTTACTCTTTTTTAAATCGCCGCCTTGTTATTATTTGCATGACATTAAAATTTTCATTCCTCTTTATTCTGTTATAAACGTTTGATCAGCTTATTTTGCTATTATTAATTAAGTTAACTATATATGAAAATTAGCTGAGAACAGCTGAATTACGTAAAACCACAGATTTAAAACTACTTTTATTCTAAAATCCTGTTTGTAGTTTATAATAAAAAAATAATTTTTAGGAATCCGCCTGAGTAGCCGAAGGGGAGGAATCTCGACTAGCAAGTCAATGGTCGTGGGTTCGAATCTCAAGTGCGGTAGAGTTTTTAATAAAAAGCCGATAGCCTTAGATGCTAGTGCTTTTAAAAGTTTAGTCTTAGAATATATTTCTCTGGCGAAATTAATAATAATAATAATAATAATTTTTAGGAACAAATTTGGTATATAAAAAGAAACAAATAAGAGAAAAATGATAAAAGAAAAATAAAAAAAGGATCTAAACATCCACCACGGAGACCAGGGAGTCATTCTTGCAGCCGATACGGATTCGGACTACGACTACTACAATAAATCGATCCAAATATGTAAAAGCTTCTCAGCCGGTAGTGTGTAAGCAAATCATATGAACCATTAATTTAACGTGAATTTAAGTAGAACACCAGCAACATACGCGTAATACGCAAAGTTATGGCATTAAAAAGTCCGATATTAAGAATAAATTATATAACAGATATACAAATAGATTGCAAGATATACAATAGATTGCAAACCGATTGAATAACGCCTAATTATATCCACACTGCCATAGGTTTACGAAAATAAAATTTCTCAGCGAACGATTATGAACACGGAGATTTTTGTTTTCGGACGACTTGGGTTGATTTTGATCAGTAAGAGAAGATGTCCTTAGCCCACCGTCTTAACGGATATCGTTAGGATTTCGACGGTATTAAATTTATTATTAGTTAGAAAGAGATGAATTATTTAAGGTGTTGAGAGGTGTACAAGGCGGGCAGGTGGAAGAATAGCCGCAATCTGCTTTTGTTACACTAAGAGATTAATAACGTGCATACAATAATTTGAATGAACCGACATCAGGCTTTGAGTCATGCTTTGCTTCATTCCTTAAATATCTAGCATGAATCTTACACAACCGAACAAAGCGCAAAACAAAGCGTTATAGCTACGTCACTATTAGACCGCATTTGAAAGAAATGAATTTAGGTCATCTAATTTTGCAAGCTATGTCTTCATATAATTTCAAATTTTATTTAATTGCTATGATTTTATGTAAATTGTCAAAATGTTTGTTCGAAATAAGCGCGAACGTTGTTGAAAATGCTTTGGATTGGTCCGCTTTTTCACCTACTCATCACATAACGCCCTATTTTGTGAAGTCCGTCCAGTTTACCGCGATACTTGTTCAGGCCAAAATCGTAACACTAAAGTAGCTTTGACATGGATGAAAATTGCTCAGTCATCAAATAATAATTTCGAAATGATAGACCACAAATTTTTGGTATCTGGTAATTCCTTCTGCCGAATGACCACGATTTTTGGTTGATAGAAATGAAAATAAAAAAATCAAAATACATCTACAACCTTAAGTCGACGACAAGAAGATTAAAAAATACCGCGGGCTCCAAATTCAATGGATGAGATTCTTGAAAAATGAATCTTCTAAAATATTCTATAAAACTTTTTTAGATGGTTGTAAATTTCACGTTTTGGATCTTTCAACTAGAAGAGGAACAAACATATGCGGACATTAGTTCCGTTATATACCGCCACTAGAGTAATAACGGAAAAAAACCAAGATATTATGTGTTTACTACCATACACCCTTCCAGTTTTTCAGGAACATTTTACAAATCTTAAGAAATCGATGCTTTCTTAAAATAATTACCAAATGTTTATGGAATATTTCACTAAATTTATTGGTTCTAATAAAACGTATCGTTTTTTACTACTTTAAGTCATTTATTGGGCATTCAGTTAACTTTGAAAATAGTCTAAGTCAATTCAAACTTCACAACATTATTCTAAGAAATTCACACAAAATTTCATATTCATAATAAATTTCCATTATGCACTACTTTCATCATTATGGGCACATATAACCGTTCCTATGAAAACTGAATTTTTGTACTGTAAAAACATATAATTTTCAATTTCATAGTAAACTGACATAAAAATTAACCTTACCGAATTTGAACCATGTAGGTATATTTTTTTTTTGCAGACTATACCACTTGCACACATTGCTACGATATGCTTGAATATATATTAGGTTGATGTGTAATCTAGAATTTTAGTTTAATTTCACTTTTACGAATACCAATCGTTGCCTTCTAGTTAGAGAACATTTCTTGCTTTAAAGTTTTCTAAAGTGTTATTTATTGAACGATTAACTTTAGATATTCAGTTAAATAACGCAACTAAGAAAATAAAACAACAAATGCTTACGTAGAAAAACACAATGTGGGTTTAACAATTTAAAAAAATTTGGTGTCCTCCTACTGAACCGCTTTTATGTAAAAAACTCGTAACCTAGGTTGCAGCTATACTTCACCTGTGTGACTTATAGTCCCCGTTAACGGGGCTCTTCCTGTCATTTTGTGGACCGGCTCAGCCAATTTGTAGATTATTCTTCACATAACCCTGTAATAGGCTTAATTTCTTCGCTCTCTTCTTAAGCGAATTCGATCATTTCAGCTTTAGTTAACCATATTAATTCAAAGAGTAGTTGGTTCCTCTGGCGCCATATATGTTTAATACATTGTCGTTCTACTTTTTAGACAAAAATTGTTAGTCTTGTAAACTTATCTGCTATTCCGACAAAAATTTTTAGATGCCGCATTCTGCACATATGTTCCTATAAACACCTTTTGAAACACTTCTGCAGAGCTTGTTTATCTAACCTTTGGGTGTCTAGAATTTTCCTTCCTTAAAGGTGACTTTCACTTAACTTCGCCCTTTGCAATTAAGAACGTTGAAAAATAGCAAAATTCGCCGCATATTCTTTATTTTCTTCATCATTACTGATTGCGCCCTTTCCACCTAGTTTGAAATTACCTGATTAAAGTCGCATTCTCTCTGTTTGAAGAACTTAACTGCTGAAGAATTTGAGCGCCTTCACAACTCGTACTCAATATCAATAAGTAAAGGTATTGAGTTAATCCGCGCCCTATAAACCTAATCAATTAGTTTTTTAATAAGAAATATTCTATGGAAGTTGTGTTGAAACCACAAAAAGTTGTAATCAGTTGACTTTTTAATAAGAAATACTAAATGATCAATTTTGGCGAAATATAGCTGAGTGCCGCATAATGCAATATTGTGAATTCTCATCTTGCTCAGTAACTTGTAGCGTGGGTATTCGCATGCGCACCAGACATTATCAACAGCCAGAAAAGGCCGAAGCTATCATGTGCACACGACAATTGGTTATGAATGAAATGTGTGCTGCCGCTATACCAAAATGCGCGTAAATTTAGTCAGGTATTAAATTCAAAATTTTTATTTACTAAACTGTTTATATATTTGTCAAAAAGTGCGCAGGAAGACGAAGAGGAAGGAGAACATTTGGCGAAATCAATTTTTTTAGATAATGAAAATAGTGAAGGAAATGGGTTGTGCCAGACAATGCATGTTTAGTGACATTTTATATACTTCCGATCCGGAATTTCGCTTTTTTTTCATACACTTATATATATAAGGTTGCAAATTCATTCAAACCATTTGCACGAATATATGTAAAAATTAACAGGAAACATTCAAAAAAAAAAAAAACTTAACCTTGTTATAGTTGTTTTGATAATGCGTTGACGTTTCAGACTAGAAAAGCGTGATTGAGCGTTGAAAGATAGTTTTCATTTAATTATTCAATTCTCTTTAGTAGATGCGGCATATGAAAACTTACATTATTAACAGTTAAAATGGGCATTTATACGTGCGAATATTTTCGCCATCAAACTAGCTAGCTCACTTTTCAATCCAATCATGCGCTTTTTAGTTTTATGATTTTATGACAAATATCTTTCACTTGTTGGGAGAATTCGTCACGTCTTTCACGTCTTCCATTAAGTACATTCCTAAGACTTTAATAAAGCCTCTTCGTTTAATTTTTGAAAAAATTTTAAATATTAAGAAAAAACTTTTTTACTTCTTACTTGACGATCCGCGGTCAAAATTATTATTATTATTATTATTATTATTAAT